ATGGCATTAGACCCTAAGAGTTTTTTAATCTTTTGTTTTCTTTCATGATAGGACTGTAATCAGCCACAGAAATTTAAGGTATTACATGTTACAGTCAAGTGCCAGCCTCAGGGGAAGGGCTCCCTTCAGCACAATGAGGGATAAAAATTGTCCATAGCCCTTGGCTATTTTAGTTCCCCATATCATGACCTTCCCGCTCTGTCTGCCTTTTCTATGAAAGATTTGACCTCCTTTTGCTGAAACTGGGTTTAATGGTAAAGTTTTTTTTATACCTTTAATTAGCAGTGAAAAACTTTTCTCACTTGAATTCCTAGAGCCACCTGCTCGGCTTTTGTGTGTGTGCCAGTTTGGCCTCAGCCTCTGTGACCCGGAGAGGTGTACGTGCTGGTTGCTGATCAGCTCTTAGGTGCAGAAGCCTGACTTGCCCCACATCTCTCTATTTCCGGCAGGCATTCAACTCAGAAACAGACAGTTTCAAGCTGGCATATGGAGGACACCAGTATCACGCCAGCTGTGCCAACTTCTGGATCAACTGTGTTGAACCAAAACCTCCTGGCCTCATCCTGCCTGATTTGCTCTGAAAAGCTCCTCTGTGAAGTACCCAATTCATAAAAAAATGTACCAAGTACCATGGGTTGTGACCCCAGGGGGTGACAGGGACCGATAAACAGAATGCGAGTACTGCAAAGTTCACCTCCATGAATCTACGTGAAGAATTTCGTAAGAGGAAGAGGGGGAGAAAAGCTGCGGAAAGTGCCCAGTCATTCCTGCAGATGACCTTTGTCCCCTAGGTCCCACTGCCAGTCTTTGGGATTTGAGGTAAAATTGTCCAAACTGCATGTGGCACCAGAAGTTTGCTGACTTATCTCTAGTTCTCTTAAGCTATTTTAAAATATGGACCACAGTTTTCTTTAGCTAAGGAATAATTTGTTGCTGCAGCATTGAAACTGTGAAGAATTGACATTTGAAGAAAAATAAATTATTGTTGTAGGAATGGAATTGGCAAGAATGTTTCGAGCCAGTGTTTGTTTATATCTAGAACACTTATTGTCCTGTGAAGTAGTATGCATTTAATTTGTTAATATCTGAAATGAATAAAAAGGGGAAATTGTGATTAAATTGATGTTCTGTCTTTTTATAGAAAAAATTCTGCTCGTCTCCATTGGACAATGGCAGATAGGTGAGGGAAGATTTACCAACTTTGTCACAACTGAACCAGTTCTCTACTCCTTTTGTTCATTTCTAAAACTATCAACTTCAGAAGACTTAAAACATGCCTGGGCACTTTGCAGTGGAGAAGAATGTTCATTTTGACAGAGGCCCAAATCCTGTGTATCAGGATGAATATCCTTCCCCTTTGGGACCTTCACTGAAAACCTTGTTTTACCTCACACACAGACTGTGAACATGGTATTTTTTTCAGACAAGATTTGGAAAGGCAGCTGAATGTAATCTCTTTGCAGTGGCCTCTGTCCAAATTTCCAGAAATGTCTGCATAGCGACCAATACTGATGTACCTGTGTGAGAGACCTGAAAATTAATTCAGGATTAGACGGTGGAGTTCCTGGCCTAGTGAGAATAGGAAAATGTATATTTGTAGTAGAAGTACATGACTTAAAAGCAGTGGAAGAAAATTGTTCAAAAACAGCACTGAATTTTAGAAGGAAAAGGTTCATGGTCTCTGGTGTCGGGAATTTTCTTTGCCACTTAAACTGAATGCATAAAATTAGAAAAAAAGCAAAGTGGTTACAGACTATGTTATTCCTGGGAAGAACATGCCAATCTAGGACACACATTTCTCTGAATTGTTAATTATGTGCTTTATGAAGGGATTTTGAATCTTGTTTGTTTCACTTTGTGTGACTTAGGCTTTCTGACCTAGACTTAGTTTTTATTTGTAAACTGAAAAAGTTGGTTTTGTCTATGTAATTGCTACTTTACATAATTAGATTATTTTCCCTTCTCAGGAGAAAGCTTGAGGAAATTCTATTTTGTTCCACCTTATAGCTTCTACTTTCATCTTCTCCAAGAAAGGTACAGAACGTTTTCATTGAAGAGCTGTTGATGCGGCTTCTGCTTTACCTTGCTGCACTCCAGAATGCAGAGCAGCGCTGATGAATAAGTGTTTTTCTCATTTGCTCCAGATGATACCATCTCCCCTACTAACGACTGAGACAGCTGTCTCTGCATCGTTACCTCCAGAGCCTTTGCCTCCACAGGGCTGGTGGGCTGTTAGTAACAACACAAGTGGGCTGGTTCCTCGCAGGCTTTTCCTGAGGCCTCTGTGCTCCACTTCAGCCTGAGCAGCACCAACGGTTTCAACGAGGCACAGAATTCAAGCAGGCTTGTTTAACTGGTCTTGTACATTCCATAATAGACCATGATGACAAACTCTACCTTTGTGATGAGAATGTCTCCCAGTTTGACAGAATTTACATTGCTGAGACATTTTTTGGAAATGCTATATGGACTATTATTGTCACAGTGGCCTATATCAATGTCATTTTAAAAAGTCAGCTCATCTGTTAACTAGATTGGTTTCCATTCTTAGATATATTCCAGAATCTCAGATAAAATTCCTAAATATAATTACTGCTGACCTTACCAAGTAAGACAGGTTTAGTCACTCCATGGGAGGTGCAAGAGGAGAATACAGCAGACAGCAACACAAAGCCTTTGCTGTGAAAAGTATTCACTACTTTAGTATCTCTTTAATAGTGGAAATGTTTTATGAGATACCACCAATAAGGATTTGGGGGAGTGTGGAATACCAGTGCTTTGATTTTATTTATGCAAGTTTATTAAAATGACTCAACACTGCATTCAGCTCCACCTCAGCTCTTGTTAGCCAAGAGCCCAGTGTCCTTGGAAACAGTTACCAAGGTTACACATTTCTATACTGTGTATTGTGCAGGCAGCTTCACCCCACTGCTTGAGTGGTGATTAATAAGCACTTTTCTTTTTTGGCATTGTATTTTGCCTTTGAAAATTTTATGGCCTAGTATATAATTTAATTTTTGTCTGGACATGCTTGAGGTAGAAGAGGCACGGGATATATCAGGATATTTATTATCCATGCTTTATTGTTCCTGTGGCTACTAGTTAGCACTCTACATGGGTTGCATATTTTAAATTATTTGACTATTTTGCGTGCATATACATATATTTTTGTTGTTTAAAGATGCCTTCTACTTGCTTTTTTTTTGTGAGGAAGGTCAGCCTTGTGCTAACATCTGCCAGTCCTCCTCTTTTTTGCTGAGATAGACTGGCCCTGGGCTAACATCCGTGCCCATCTTCTTCCACTTTATATGGGACGCCGCCACAGTGTGGCTTGCGAAGCGGTGCGTTGGTGCACGCCCGGGATCCGAACTGGCAAACCCTGGGCCACTGCAGCAGAGTGCACGCACTTAACTGCTTGCCCCACCGGGCTGGCCCCCCTTCTACTTGCTTTTTATTTAATGACTAGTATGTTCTTAAGCTTTGAAAAGATTATAGGGCCTTTATGTTATAGAAATTTGAAATGCCTGCTCTGCACTGGGATCACTACAAAAATTCCCTAACAAACAAACACCTTCTAGGTCACCCACCGTCCTTTGTGACCAGCTAACAAACTCTGACATTTAGGTTAGAAAAGTGAGTGAGGGCCGGCCCCGTGGCTTAGCAGTTAAGTGCGCGCGCTCTGCTGCTGGTGGCCTGGGTTCAGATCCCCGGCGCGCACCAATGCACCACTTCTCCAGCCATGCTGAGGCCGCGTCCCACATACAGCAACTAGAAGGATGTGCAACTATGACGTACAACTATCTACTGGGGCTTTGGGGGGGAAAATAAATAAATAAACAAACTTACTTATGAAAAAAAAAAAGTGATAGGCTTCCCAAGTGCTAAGAATGCTCTTAGTTACATCCCATTAGGGATGTTTGCCAGGATTTCTGCAGGAAATTTTCCTTAATTACCAAGAACATCTGTCACCAGGTGTTTTCTTACTAGAGTACAATGATTATTTTTGGGTTCTTTTCCAGAAACTCCCAGACTTAAAGTTTGCCTTCATACTAAAGAAGCCATAACCTCCATAGCCATAGGATTCTTTTGATTTTTGATCATGTGGTGATATGGTATTTATGGGTTCCTCTGAGTTCCCATACAAACTATTAACTTCATTTTAATATTCCTATTTAGACAATGATGGTGAATGTTTATAAAATTGGACAAATGGTACCAAAAAAGACCCGGTAGGATTTAGATGGAAACCACTGCCACAGACCAGGTAAAATCTGGACGATATAATTTATATAAATATTCAGTCACTAGCATTATATCTATGGCTTCTTGCCAAAATAAATAAAAAAATCTAGAAAAGTATTCCATGGCTAAGCAAGCTACAATCTACCTGGCAAATGAAGTAAAATAAAGCAGTGCTGTGACAAGTCGCTCCCTTACCTGGTAACTCCCAGTGGTTTCCCAGGAGGGTGGAATAGAGAAGAGCTAATTAAACTTCTACGAGTCCCTGATGAGTCGTTTTCATATTTATTAGGAGCAGTGAACTGGGTGACATTTCCAAGTGTCAACAAAGGAAGCCATTGTTATTTGCTTATCACTTGTATTATATTCCATCACTTGTATTCAGGTTTGGTTTAGGGCATTTTTGTGTGTGTTAACAGTCAAGGAAAGGCACACCTTTTGTTAAAAACCAGTTTCTTTGATGGAGGACTCACTGCTTTGGTGCACTCCACTTATTAAGAGACAACTGAAAACAAACAGTACCTTTTAAAAATCAGAGTGTATACTCTGTGCTCTTTTCCACTGTTCCAGCATTGTGAATGATGTTAATATCTGCACATCTGCAAGGATGTGAAACCCTGACATGATTCAGCTGGGGTGCCTATTTTAAGTAGTGTTCATAATTGTCACAGGAGCCATATATTTAACAGTTGTTGGAGAGCATCTTTCTTCCATCAACACACACACACACTTTGAAATTCTTATTAGTAAAAATTCTAATATGTTAAGCAGATATATTTATTAAAAATAATGCTAATATAATCCTGGGGCACATTGATTCCAAGAGAGTGTTTGAAGCAGATTTCATTATAATTACTTAACAGCTAAATAATAAAGGTTTATTTTTTTTAACTTACAGAGTCACTAAATAGAGGGGAAAGGAAAGAGTGGGGCTAATCCAGTAGAGACTGAAGCTGGTGTCAGTCTTCCCTAAGCATTTATTTGGTCGGCAGCCTTGGGCAAAGCTTGTCCCTACAGGGTTAATCAGGGCCCAGAGTGGTGTTTGCACTGAGCTCCTCCGGCACCGGCCATGATGCCAAAAGGCATGGCATTCAGAATAGAGCAGAACCAGTTTATTAAACTGTTCAAATTGTTAAAAATGATTAAAAGCCAGTTATAGATTTTCATAAACATTATTCCAAAATGTTAGTTTTAAAAATGTTACTAGCAATGTATGCATTCCCCTTATGTTCCTCCCCTCCCTCCCTATCTCTTAAAATAAACTTGAACACCTAGTGTAAAAAAACACTTCAGGGAGAACCAAAAGTCAACCGTTTGAAAAGAAAGGTGAAGAGGGGAGCAGATGGTGTGTAGCAGATGCTGGTACTGCTCAAGGGGCTGCTGATGCAGGCTTTGGTGGCATTAAATCCCCCAGTAAGGCATCAGGTGTCGGGACTCTTTCTCATAAACGTCTGGAACTATGCCATAAGGCGTCTGTACCATTTTAACTGTCGACTTCCCAAAGAGCTGGCGCTCGTAGTCTATCAGCTGCCTCCAGAAGCCTACGTTGGGCCTGATGACAGGCCTCCGGGCTTTCACCCAGTTGTACGCCTCCAGCAGGCACACATTGTGGTATTTCATCAGGTAAGCAATGCAGAGAGTGGCCGAGCGGCTCACCCCTGCAGCACAGTGCACCAAGGTGGCCCCATGCTTCCTGCTCACACTGTGGATCTTGTCGGCCACGGTGTCAAAGTATAGTCCAATGGGGGCATGTGGCATGTCAGCCAGAGGCACTTTAACATATTCAAATTGGGGCCAGTTGAAATTGGGGATCTCAATGGTAGCATTAACGATGCAGGTGATGCCACGAGCCTGAAGGAGGTGCCGGTTGGAGGCCACACTGCCTCTGCCCAGGTAGAGAGAGGAGGTGATTTGAGCAATGCCTCCTATGTCTCCCTCAGAAATCATCCGAGGGGCCATGAGAGTCCGTGGTAGTGTGCTGTGACCTCTGGAGCTCATGAAGACGCCGGCGATCACACTTGCATTGTTGGAAGCAAGACCAGAGTGTTTTGTTTTCCTCCACCAAGGAATCCGAAATTACAGTCACCTTCCTGCAAAATACAGGTACCTGTTAGTACTTTAAAATGCTACTGATTCATCACAGCCTTCTGCAGTGTTTGTGGAATGGGAAGGTGAAAGGATTAGAAATGGTTATTTTCTATAATAGAGTACATTCTTTCAAGGATGTAGACAAATCATTTCTATTGATTAACAGGAAAAGTAGCCTAAGAGACCAATATGTAAAATCAATGTAAAACTCAGCTCTCCAGTGGTTGTAAAAAAAGTAAAATAAAAAATAAGTGGAAAATGGAAATAGTCATCCTATTTTAGGAAACGTTAAAGACAGAAACATGCTCAACTGGTTCCTGAACGACAATCTTGCAAGGTCTTGCTCTTACTGAAGGGAGTGGTGTTCCCTGGTAAATCAGAAATTCTGATCCCTCCTACAGCCATGTTCTTTCATCCACTTCTTGCCTACCTCCACAGCTATGATGGCTATATTTTCCTAAACTTAATTCTAGACAGAGAGATCTTAGAAAGGTATAAAAATGATATCGCATTAGGTAATATATTCAATGAACTGCCTTTATAAAGGACTAAAAAGATAGTGGAGAGTTACAGAAAAGCCAGGACATATGATCACCTTAGCCCTTTATTATTTAACAATAGCTACCTCCTATCATATTTGTTACATCTGAACACTTTGGAAATCCAACTAGCTTTGGGTAACTTGTGCTGTTGCATTTCCATGGAAATAATCCCACGCAATTTGAAAGCCATGGTCTCAAAAATTCATTTGTCTAAGTTAATGAGCATTTTAGCTGACTTGACCCTGGGTGTGCTTAAATAATAACTTCACCTTCCTCAGCCAATTCTCAGCTCCAAGATGAAGCTGACTTCAGATGTGTGATAGAATTAAAATTAGCTTAGTTTAATATGGAAGATTTATACTGTGTCATTCATATAGGGTTTACTATAAAAGACATTCAATATTATATAATGTTTATATACTACGTTAGTAACAATAGAAAAGGAAATTATTGGTTTCCTGAGATTTTAGACATATCAATTCTTCTCACTGCCTTATAGTCTGTGCCCACTGGGAAGTCTGCTTAACCCCATCCACAGTACCGTGTGGATGCCCGAAGTAATTTCAGTCGGATGAGAATATCTCCAGTTCCACAGACAGAGTGGTGCTGGGGCTACTCACTTGTGAGGAGTTACTGTGGAGTGCTGGGTCTGGATCTGGAAAGTCCTAAGTAAGAGTGCTGATCACAGTGGATACAAATCAAATCTGCAGGAAGACAAGGAGGCAAGAATGTGGCCAATCAGGAAGTTCAATAGAATTCCTCCTGGGTTTTTACTACTAAACTGGGTTTGACTGGAAGAAATCTGGGAAGTGGAAGGCATGCTAAATATATCTAGATGTGCATTTAAAGAATGCACCAGTGGGGCAAGCCCAGTGGCGTAGTGGTTAAGTTCGCACACTCCACTTCAGTGGCCTTGGGTTCGCAGTTTCGAATCCCGGGTATGGACCAATGCACTGCTCATCAAGCCATGCTGTGGTGGCATCCCACATACAAAATAGAGGAAGATGGGCACAGATGTTAGCTCAGGGCCAATCTTCCTCAGCAAAAAAAAAAAAAAAAAAAAGAATGTGCCAGTAAGAAATACCAATCTAAGTCTTAGCTTTTTGTTAATGACATACAACCCACAGTGTGAGAAATAAAGCACTGTTTTGGCCATAACAGAGAGAAATTTTTGGAAAGAGGAGATTCAGAAGACTGCAACATATCCATGAAACTCAAGGCACTGCCTACTGGGCCTGCAAGCAAAACGAGCTAGTCTCTTCCATGTGCCCTCAGTCAACCAAGCAGGATGGGAGACTCTCTGCACTGTGCCAGACACCACAGTGGGTACAGCAGCTAAGCCACATGCAGGGAGACAGCTTCACGAAGAGCAGTACTGCAGATGTGGCTGCAGCCATGAATGCCAACTACAGGAGACGCTGCTGTTGAGGACAGCAATTTGCAATTTCTCTCATTTTGTTTTCTCTTCCGTGTTGGCCCTCTTATTTTATTAACTTATGTAACAGTATGATAAGCACCACTGAGTATCATTAAAAATGTATCCCCCCCACCTATCCCTTTGCCTTTCCTAGGTAACCATCACACTTTAATTTTTTTACAGCTCTGTTGAGGCATAACTGACATACAAATTGATATACAACTTGATGAGTTTTGACATATGTATAAACTTGAGACACCATGACCTAAAAATAATAAACATCTATCCCCCACCAAAATTTCCTCATGCTCCTTTATAACTCATCCCTACCTCACCCTCCAGCCCCATTCATAAGCAACCACTGATCTGTTTTCTGTCACTATAGTTTGCATTTTCTTGACTTTTATATGGTGGAAGCATACAATATAGGGATTTTTTTTGTTTGGTCTGGCTTTCACTCAGCATAATTATTTTGACATTCATCCATGTTGCATATATTAAGAGTTTACTCCTTTTTATTGCTGACTGGTATTCCATTGTGTAGATATACCATGGTTTCTTATCTGTTCACCTACTGAAAATTGGGTTGGTCCTAGTTTTAAGCTATTACAAGTAAAGCTGATGTAAACATTCACGTACAGGTATTTGTGTGGACATATGCCTTCCTTTCTCTTGGTCAAATACCTAGGAGTGGAAGGGCTGGGTCATATGACGTGCATATTTAACATTTTAAAATAATTTTTTAAAAAGCTTTAAAAACAGTTATAGCTTGCAGCCTGAGGGGCAGGCTTCTAATTAAACACACATGTTGGGCCGGCCCCATGGCTTAGCAGTTAAGTGCATGCGCTCTACTGCTGGCGACCCGGGTTCGGATCCCGGGCGTGCACCAACACA